GAAAATTATTATATGGGTCAATTCAAGTCCGATCCAAATTTTCAATTCAAACCCGATCCAATTTTATTCATTGAATTAGACCGTAAATTGGTCATGAGTCTAGATTTTAGTGATCGGGTCGGTCCAAATCCGACTCAAACAGTACTTAAGGTCCGTAGGACTTGGACATACTTGGACCTTTTTTCTTTTTTTACCAGCCTGAGGGTGAACCTCATGTAACTGATTTATTTTTTATTTTTTAAAAACTATACTATCTACTCAAATTTCAAACAAATAATAATTCAATTAATTCTTTTTAGAGTGTTACATCACAAAAAAAAAAGAGAGAGAGGATCGAAATCCGTGAACGATTTCTAAGGTCTATGAATAAAAGCTATTTACATCATACAATTTCGAGCATTAGACTCATACTTTGAATAATTTGAAAAATAGGCCAATCCCCATTTCATTTATTGAAAAGTAGCCCTTTCTTTTCACATGTAGAAGGTTGCCAGTTCCAAATTCATTGTATCAAACCAACAACCATTCCCAAATTCCTTTCATTTTCATCCAAATTTTGGAAGAGATGTTTCATTCACCCGTTTCAATAAGTTTCTTTATTAGAAACCTTAGTTGCAGAACAATTAGTGCCAGACTACGTGGTCTCGAAAACTTCTAGAATTCACCTCTTTAAAACTTTATCAAAAATAAACTCATAAGCCAGCGTGCATACTTCTTTTAATTTGTATTTCTCTCATATCAATAACTAATTATATATACATTCCATACATGTAATTTATTACACAAACATATTAAAGATTGATTCACAATAAATGGTTAATAAATTTGAATCGACAATCGTGATCAAGGAGAGACGTATCCTAAGATTTAAATAGATGTCACATCTCAATAAAAGAGATGTGTGATTTAATTCGAGGAATAATGTGTAAAAATTCATCTATTTTCAAAGTATATATTAAATAATATTATAATAATAGTTGTTGCTACAAAATTGAATTGGAATATAGCATAAAATAGAAAGTGACAAGTGAATTTAATTAGAGAGTAGTACTCTAAAAAGCCTAAATGGGAAGGAAAGCATATAGAGGAATACAAATAGAGGTTTTGCTTATACAAAATATGGCTTATGTACTCCCTCAAAAGTACTTTTTAAAAAAGCCTCACCCACTGATTACTAGTGTGGCTACATTTTCAGCTATGAGTTACAAATATGATGAATTATTATTTTTCATTTTTTTATACTTTATATTTAATATATATTGTTATTAACATGGACATAGTTTAGCGATTAAGACATCTATTCTTTTTAGATGTTAGAAGTTCAAATCTGCGTCTCACAATCCTGCCAACTTAAACATAATTCAATTGGCTAAAGTTTTGATAGGTGATTTGTTATAACTTCTTTTGAGTGTGTAAAGTAGTTTTAACATCAAATTTTTAATTTTGTCTTATTTAATATTAAGACTTTGTGAAACTAAGATTAAAAGTCGACAGCCATTTTAGATTTAGAAAATTGTGAATACCTTACCAAGATCATTATTGGAGTATGTTTAAGAAAAATTAAAATCTATAAAAAATTTTTATTTTTTAAAATATTTGTAAATTTATATTTTATAAAAGTAAATTGATATATAATACTTCTATAAAATCATTGTAATTTTATTATTTAAATATATAATAATATGATATATTGAATTTAGATAAATTGGTAATTAACCTAAATATTAATTAACTCTAATGTAGCCATTATTAACTATAATTATAGTAATTAATGATTTATGTGTGTTTTCTTTAAAGGTAATGATTTATGTGTTCTAAATTTATCTACTTTGTTTTATTTTTTAATAATATTTTATCAAAATTATGCTAAACCCCTCTTTTAAAATCGAATATAAAACTGTTTTGTTTGGGTTTGAATTTTTCATTGCTGAGTTGAACCAAGGAATAAAGATTCGGCCCATTAAGAACCAATCTCCATCGTGTTAATGGGCTTGAGTATTAAACGGGCCATCTCAATCCCAAAATCGAGAAGAA